AGGAGAGAGAGAGAGAGAGAGAGAGAGAGAGAGAGAGAGAGAGAGAGAGAGAGAGAGAGAGAGAGAGAGAGAGAGAGAGAGAGAGAGAGAGAGAGAGAGAGAGAGAGAGAGAGAGAGAGAGAGAGAGAGAGAACGAGAGAGAGAGAGAGAGTGAGTGTGTGTGTGTGTGTGTGTCTGCTGTCTCAACGATGTGAGACAAGTAGAGTCCGCTGTCAACGGCGTGAGGGAGTCCACCATCAGCCTGCTGTCTCCCCCATCTCCACGGCGTGTGCCAGTCCTGCGTGCCTCTGCCCGGCCACAGCCCACCCCAGCCCGTCATCGTCGCCTCCGGGCCGCGCCCTGGCGCTGTCAGCACTCTCCTCCTGCCCTGCCGCCCGCGCCCACCGTTCATACAGTATGCATTGCTGCCCGGCCGATGCCCACGCTGGCTGCGTTCTGTCTGTGCCGCCGGCTGTTGTCAGTTGCGTCACGTGCAGCAGAGTCTGCGCCGACGCGCGCGCGCCCGCCACCGGCGACCGGCTCCGTTCGAGTTTGGCCACGGCGGAGAGTGGCCTCAGCAGCGTGGTGTTAATCAAGTGGAACTGTTCAGCGTTCGGACATGGCCGAGGAGGGAAGCCGAGGCGGACGCCGGCCGCCGGGATTTAAGCTCAGAGGGGCGACCTCTCTTGTAGCATGCCGATCGGCCCTACTTTGGTGCTGTGACGTATGAAATATGGAAACTCGAATATTTTTAAGAAAACATATTGCTGCACGGGTGAAAAAATGACCAGTGCTATTGAGACCAACCATGAATTGTGCTTTTGTTGAGTCTTCGTTGATCGAGAGCATGTTTCAAAGAGTATCGCTCAGTTCTGTTTATCTGGCCATGACGGCTCTGACCATGCAGCTGTCTCATATGAAAGAGCTGGTTCTCCAAGGAATGATAACTTGCTAAGCCAAAATCGGTTACGTTGCGATGTGCGATACATCGAAAAATTGGTACCAGTCCTCGGTAAATGCATTCAGAAACAACTCCATGGGGTCCGTCCGGTGTTCAACTGTCATATGGGACAGGCACGTCTCGGAAGGTTCTTCACAATTGTGACGGCAGGCTGTCGCTGTGGAGAAGCTGTCTCCTCAGTGTTGTCTGGGTTTTCTCCGAGCCCCTGGACTGCTGTTGTCCCCCGTGCATGGGCCACCGCCGCTAACCACTTGCGCTGCTGCAACTACTAATCCAATCCACCGCGCTGCCGCCCGACCACAAACTCTCGCCACTTCTCCCGGCCAAGTCGAGACAAAGCGTCGACTGCATCGTTGCGGGATGACGACAGGCCGGCGTGCCCCACGGCGCTGGCGCTCTGGCGTGGAACGCCGCCGGTCCGACCGCATCAGCTGATTGTAACTAATCACCGGCACCGCTGATCGAAGCGTGCCCCTCATTCCCACCCAATCAGCTTGGTTTCTCGACGGCGCGAGCCCCCGGCGGCTGGGCGCTATCGACCAAGCGGAGCCGCAGACGGCTGCCGGCCGTCAGGCACCCCGCATATCAGCGCGATGTTTCGTCGCCTGACGCACCGGCTCGGACATCCATGCTCGGCAGCACAATAACGCGGATATCGATCGCGTCGACTGTCGTGCGTATTGCCCGATTCCACGACTTCTCTAATTGCGTCCCGTCCGGCTGGCATAGATAAGCCCGAGATAAGCCGACTGGCAGGCTTTGGCCGGTCATCAAGTGCTGATTATTGCCGGCGCTCGCAATAGCAGCCTGCGTTGCTTCTGATCGTTTGCATGCAGAGCGCCACGTATACGATGTTTACAAGGCCCACTCCAAGCCATGTATTCCGCTGAGGCAAGCTGTCGTGTCGAGGTGTTGCTGCTCGTGTCGAGGCGTGATTTTGCATCAGCGCGGACCACCGGGGCACTGGCCGGACGGTTTGCAGGAGTCACGTTAGTGCCACGGTGGCTTGCAAGGTCTGTCATCGCTAACACCGTGCTCTGTCACCACAGACGTTCTGCGAGCCAATGCCATGCTTCCCTATGGTCCACATTGGGACTAATAATGCCATTGTGCCCGGTTATGTTTCCCACGACCTGCAAGCTCCGCCCACCACTGAGCAGAGCTGCTCGACCTCCACGCCCACCCGCTTCGGTCACTGAGCAGAGCTGCTCGACCTCCACGCCCACCCGCTTCGGTCACTGAGCAGAGCTGCTCGACCTCCACGCCCACCCGCCCCGGACACTGAGCAGCGCTTTTCCGCCTCCAAGCTCGTCCACCCGCCCCGGACACTGAGCAGCGCTTTTCCGCCTCCAAGCTCGTCCACCCGCCCGCTGAGACGGGGCTGTGGCGTAACGGCGTGGGAGCCGGCCCGGTCCCATCACGTCACTCATGCTGAGGTTCGCACGCTCGCCGACACCGCTCGACCAGCCCTGGCACCCGGCCGGCGGGCCTGCTGGGGGTCGGTTCGGGAGGTGGGCCGGCTGATCGGCTTGTTCCCCTCACCGAGACCGTCCTGTCATGTGGGGCAGGATGGTGACGTTGGTGGGCTAAAGCCACTGTGTGGAGAAATCCTGCTGGATGTGATGGTCCTGTTGGGTGTGATGATCCTGCTGGGTGTGATGATCCTGCTTCAGGCGTGGTTCCAATTTATGGGGCAGTTGTATCGAATGAGGTGCTGTCGTTGCAGGGCTGACTCTGCAGCAGGGGTGCCATGGTGGAGTTGTTGGGGATCCTGCTGGGCTGGGTTTTTTGTTGAGTAGGATGTTCGTGCTGGGTAGCACGTCTGGTGCGCAATGGCTCAACGTCTGCTCAAGCCCGCTTGCCCGCAGGGGATATTTGAGCCGAACTCTCCTCTTCTGAGGAAAGGTCCGGATGCTCGCGGAATTGCTGGATGGAGTGCCAACGCTTCAACAGCAGCAATCCACATGAACAATTGCTGCTCAACATTTGCGTCTGGAGACATGTCCACCGAATCGCCTGAAGCATTCATTTATACAGATTCAGAGCAGGCTCGATGGCTGCCGGTTGAGACTTGATGGGAATAATGACAGGAGACTCCAAAATGTGCTTTGCCTTAGAATCTGTCCGATATATGTCCGGACAAGCTGCAGTGGTACTCTCCTCGGCGCGCCTACGCCAGGTCGCCTCGGCGCGGCGCCGCTGGAGGGCCAACCAGGCCTCCGACCTATGCAGCCGCCAATAATCCACCGCTGGCCGATAGCAATGTCAACAGCGGCCGTCGGCGCCGGCGCCAGGTTCCCACGGGCTGGCCGGCATCCCTTTATGCCGCGGTGTGGTCGTTACCCGCGCGGCAGGGCCGGCCGCCGCACTCTTCGCAGACACTGGCCGGCGCCCGAAGCGTAGAAGGCCTGGGAGGAGTATGGGATAAAATGCGTAGGACTAACTGGGATAAGTACAACAGACGCCAAGGAGCAGCCGGCAAGTGATCGCCACGTGTTTAGTGGGCATCGGCTTCCATGGATCATGCCGCTATCCCGGTACACGTTTGCTAGAGTCACCCCAACCATGACAACGGCTAGCTCCCAATGCACGGCCGCGGAGTCCCCCAGTGTGTCTGTTGGCCGGGGGCGGGCCTTGGTGGGCGGAGGCTGCGAGCTCACGGGAGCGGGGCCATGACGGGTGGAGGCCGCGGGGCTCATGGGAGCGGGGCCGTGGCGGGCGGAGTCTGCGGGGCTGATGGGACCGTGCCGGGTGGAGGCCGCGGGGCTCATGGGAGCGGGGTCGTGGCGGGCGGAGTCTGCGGGGCTGATGGGACCGTGCCGGGTGGAGGCCGCGGGGTTCATGGGACCGTGGCGGACGGAGGCTGCGGGACTCACGGGAGCGAGGCCATAGCGGGTGGAGGAGGCCGCGAAACTTGTGGGAGCGGGGTTATGGCGGGCGGAGGCCGCGGGGTTCAGGGGAGACGGGGCCGTAACGGGAAGAGGCCGCGGGGCTCATGAAAGCGGGGCCGTAGCGGGCAGAGGTCGCGGAGCTCATGGTGAGGCCGAATCCCGTAATCGATAGCGAACCTGACCGGCTCACACCTGAGCGCTCGCTGTTCCGAGCACCTGATTGCGCCCTGACCGGCGGCGGGCAGAGGGACGTCCTGTGCAAGTGTTCGCCGGGCCGGCCCGCGCCCGACGGCCCACGGCGTCACGTGACCTACGGGAAGGGACGAAGGGGTACCGACTATTGGTGCGATGACTTTGCCGCCGGCTGCGGCGGCGTTAATGCGCTCTCACGCTCGGTAGGGGCTTGAGTGTGCGCGTTTTAAAGGATGACTGAACACCAGACTGCCGCAGTTCGCCAGTGAGACCGCTCTTCACTTCCGCTCGCAGGCGTTGAGGCTGTGTGTGGGCGTTGTTACTCTCGTCGTGTGTCCAGCCGGACCACCGTCTCTGATGGTGCAGCTGAGCGCGAGCCGTCATTACGGTGAAGAGAAGTGACCCGGTCAATGCGGCTGTTTCGCAGCGGTGTGCCCAGCCGGACCACCGTCTCTGACGGTGCAGCTGAACGTGAGCCGTCATCACGGTGAAGAGTAGTGACCCGGTCAATGCGGCTGTTTCGCAGCCAAGTGCGAGTTGGCAATTCCCGCATTGATTCGTGTTTTTCCTCGCTTTGACTGTGATGGCTACTGGACGATGACACCCCGCCTAAAGGGAAAACATGTTTTTGATGCATCGGTCATTATTACGACGGTCGCTGATGGTGGAAACTGCGCTCGCCCTGAATGACGCTCCCTAAAGTGAAAGGTTCAACTGGAACTTAAGCCAGAAATAAGTGACCTTGTAAGCATGACTCACTAATGTGCAATACTAAGTGACCGGTATGTTTGTGTTGATGAAACATCCAGAATCGTTAGCGTCCGTCTCAGGGCTGTTTTCGAGCCAGCAGCGTGGTGGCCACAGAGGCAGCTGGTCCGAGGCTCGGCAGACTCATAAGCCCCACTCATTTCCGACTGTTTATTCAGGTTGTTTGCTCTGATAGAATGGAGGCTCTCTGATCAGCGATGAACCGAGCATGCGAGCCGAACCCACGGCGGTGGGCCAGGTCAGCCGATGGTCGGCGCGCTCGAGCGCCTGAGACCCCCCTCGCCATGCGGAGGAGAGCCCCCCAAGGTCAGTCGCACGTTTGTAACTCCCTCCCCTCCCCAGCGACCCTAGTTAAGGGAACAAGTGTTGGCAGTCAGGCGCCGCATCCTGGTCCGTTGCGCCTGATGCCTGATGCATCCTGGCGCCTGACGCAGTGCCTGACCTCCGGGACTTCCGCGTAAGGACAAATGGTCATGTGCCCCCTCCCCCTTCAAACCAACGTAGCGGGAACTTAACGGAGCGATGAAGGACGATAGTCTGACAGACTGAGCCTGCGGAAAATGAGATCACGAATGCAAGATGGAAGAATCAAATAAACGTGAGTTGGATGCATGACAACGCAGACGAACGTGCCAACGGCTACCACTCTTTTTGTATCTAAGTTGATCATTCTTGCAATTACTCTTGGAGATGTAATGGCACCAACATGTCTGTAAGCTGCGAGATTAATGCAATATGTCAGATGCATGAGTGCGGTATCGATGGGCGGCGGCGTGCCTTTTTGGCTGTGAGTGACGAAGAAAGGGCTCGACATGGCTGATCTTGGCCTAGTTCCACAACCCGAAGGTACGATCTAAGTACTTTTGGTTGGCGTCGTATGGACTGATAGACTTAAAACAGCTTAGTGACACGGGCGCTTTCTATTTTTGAATTACTTCAGCACCAAGAGATGAAGTGAGGTTGACTCGTTTCCGGCTCACACACCATACAGTTAAGAAGTGCGTCAATCGGTATTTCTGTTTATGAAACTGGGCCCTTTGTCAACCACGTAGTCTGGACCGTCTTGGCTTAATTTTCCAAACTGGAGCGTTTGATATGACTCAAAAAGGTTGTTACATTTTTTGTTTGTTTGTTATATATACATTGTTGTTTATATAAAAGTTTGCTATTATGTATAAAGTTTGTTGTTTCTTTTATGCCCACAAATATTCGCTGGCTGTGTAAGGAAACACGAGTTTTGTGTACTGGTGGAATGCGGTTCTTATTGCCGTCGATAGTCGCACCACTTTACGAAAAGCCTTGCTTCCATGATTCGGTGAAGATCCAGCTACAATAAAGGACAAATAGGAAAAAAGGATTCAAATATTCCGAGCGATCGACAATATGCTGCACTTTTACCACAGCGTTACTAGACTGCAAGTTAGAAAGTTGAGTACGCAAGTTTGGAAAATCGGGCCGCAATAATGAGAAAGCTTGAACTTAGGATTTGCGTCGTTGGTTGGTTGACGTCTAGGACACACGTCTAGGCTCACATTTGCGGATCCTGTCGCAGATAATCAGCGCACTCACTCACAATTAATCGATGTCCACTTCTCTTTTTATGAACGACCATCTTACCTCGACACCTTTAAAGGCATTGGTTCATATTTAAAGATAGTAAAGCAGGCATCAGATATGATGAAATAAGCTCACTTATAACTCTTGGTGTTCTTTTAAGTGGAAAAACCTGCCCTAAACCACGCAGTTTCTCTATACCTCTCAATACGTCACTGTTTGGTATCGTCATCTCTCGTTGCACATCACTGATTAAGAGCCAATTGACGGCAGTTACGTCTGGAAATTGTGCTCACGAACATTTGAATGTCAGATATGCACGAATTGTCAATTATCTTTTCTTGGCCTTGATCGCCGCATGGCCAATCAAGTGGCAGAATCTGAATGACATTATCATGGCATCATGGCTGCCTGAGTGACCTTGAAATGGTCCCCCAAAATGTCTGCAATCTTCGCGAGCGCGTAGCCCAAAGACTAGAGGGGTTTTGGTCTTGATAAGGACGGGTCTGTAAATTGCACCAAAAGATTTTCAAGATTGCCATTTCAGTTGAAAACCCTATGCGAATGTGGAGCACTCCCTTTAAGCGGGAACACATTTGATTTGACCTGCCTGCGGCATGCCTGCAAAGCGAGAGGTTTTAGCGCTTTCTCCGTAGTACATTCATAGTCCTGGTTATCGGCGTTCGCAGCAGGACCGCGATACATCGTCTCTATGACCACTTAACCATAGTGGCACAGCCTTTTTGAGGAATTTTGGCTGGAAAAACCTCAACGACAAGTCTGATCCCAAAATATGGACCCCCTGGCCTGCCCCAAACATTTTAACTTTTCCTTGGATTCAAGTTTTTTGCGCTAAAATGGCGAACAACAAAAGATGTGAAACGAGTTGGCTGCGATACAAGACGAGGCTGAAACAGCTGAGACTGAAGGGAGGGGGTTACTGGGTCAGTGGGGGTTTCTTTTTCTTCACTTAACACGTTAAAAGCTTCTGACTTGTTGTGCCAAAAAGGCTGTAGCAATTTACTACATACGGCAACTGTATGTCCTCGCACGCACGCCGATTGCAACGGTCCGCATTTGTCTGGAATGCGGCTTTCGGCAAAATGAAAGGGTTAACCCCGTGCGTTTGCTTTGCTACGGTCACGGCGCTGTACAAGTCGTGTGGAATACGTTCATCACGCTGTGTGATATTGTGTGCTCTCACTCGCTTCACCAGATCGCGCATATATGCATCCGACTCGCTCTGAAGTTGTGAGACACAGGCCCCTAGTTTTGAAAGTTGTCGGGGATGCACCCCTATGTCCCCCGGGGATGCACCCCCATGTCCCCCACAGTGTCGTCGCTCCGACTGCAAGCGTTCAAACCCATGGAGTAGCGCATTATGTATGCAACACCATAAGTCTGGGACAATATTGTATCTAGTTTAGTACATTGTATGGGATCATTGCATCAAATGAAGCCAATTTCTGAGAGAGAGATAGAGAGAGAGAGAGAGAGAGAGAAGAGAAGAAGAGAGAGAGAGAGAAGAGAGAGAGAGAGAGAGAGAGAGAGATAGAGAGAGAGAGAAGAGAGAGAGAGAGAGAGAGAGAGAGAGAGAGATAGGAATAGAGAGAGAGAAATAGAGAGAGAGAGAATGAGAAGAGAGAGAGAGAGAGAGAGAAGAGAGAGAGAGAGAGAGAGAAGAGAGAGAGAGAAGAGAAGAGAGGAGAGAAGAGAGAGAGAGAGAGAGAGAAAGAAGAGAGAGAGAAGAGAAGAGAGATAGAGAGAGAGAGAGAGAGAGAGAGAAGAGAGAAGAAAGAGAGAGAGAGAAGAGAAGAGAGAGAGAGGAGAGGAGGAGAGAGAGAGAGAGAGATGATGGAGAGAGAGGAGCACCCGAGAGGGGAGAGATGGAGAGAATAGAGAGAGAGGAGAGAGAGAGAGAGAGAGAGAGAGAGAGAGAGAGAGACGAGAGAGATGAGAGAGAGAGAGAGGAGAGAGAGAGAGAGAGAGAGAGGAGAGAGAGGAGAGAGAGAGAGAGAGAGAGAGAGAGAGAGAGAGCGTTGCGCTGTCAATCTCTATGGATATGCTCGCAAGCTTAAAGTACGGTGCTAAGACCGTTTTATAAAAGTTTGCGAAGGCGGCTCTATCTTTGGCACGTCCATGAGCCGCGCCCACCCGCCGCCGCGCTGGTATGCAGTGTCGAGTGCGGCCGAACCCCAGAGCCCATCTGCCCGAATTGGAGAGCCAGACGGCCTGACGAATAAGAGACCTTCGCACCATGACGTCATCAGCCGACCAAAATGTCAGCGGGTTCGCAGCCCACGTGGGTGCAGGCCAGGCACCGGGCCCATGACTAGGACATTCCTGTTGCCGTCTCGCGGATGGTGGGGAATGCGCTGCCGCTCACGCGGCGGCGCAGCCCGGCAAACAGGCGCTCAGGTAAGATAAACAGAGACTCATCAGGCTGTCAGACCCAGAACCAACGCGATGTACAGCTTTATCAGTGCGTGTGCTGGGACCCAGGCAACTGACTGGGGCGCAAAGGGAGGGAGCGGGGGAGGGGCGAGTGTTCTCGGTTTCCGCATTTGATGCGGCTCCGGAATACCTGCGGTGGTATGCTGTACCGCAGTGTTTCCTGCGTTGCGGTATAGTCTATCGATTCCGACAAAGGAGGAGAGATAACAGTTCGTCCACGTGCGTTCCTTGTGACGCTAGGTATATTTTATCACACCAAGTAAATATTGATAGAACTGGAATGTGCAAGTCGATATCAGCAAAATCATCAAATGTCGACTGCCAGCAAATGCACGTAGCGCGCCTGCATCCAGCATGGTGAATTTATAGAAGAAACCAGAGCATTAACAAAACTTTCCAAAATTCCCGCTGTTCCAACTCTGAATGGAGCGGCCCGAAACACGACGAATAAGCTTTCCCGAGCGCAAAGTTAAAAGCCTGCAGTGCACCGAATCGGAAGCAGGCTGGCGGCTCAGCAGAGGGCCGGTCCCGCGATGCCGGGCCGCTGCAGCCGGGCCGAGACGACCTGCGTGGTCCAACATGTGCTCGCCGGGGCGGCCTCCGGCGGTCGGCAGGGCGGCGTGCCAGCGGCCGCGGGCAGCCGGCCAAGCACCGCCACCGGGGGCACACGCTCGGCCCTGGCTCCCCACGGCGACAGGCTGCGACAGGTGGTCCCACGCAGCGACGGCTTCGCTTCTAATCTGCCGTCACCGTTATCGCCCGGCGCTGGAGGGTGGCGCGAGACGCGGACAAATTGAGAGATTGAGATCAGAAGAGGGAATGGGAGGGCCCGTAGTGAAGGGCGCGTGGGCACAGCCGTGGCAGACAGCGCGTTTATTGGTGGTACGTCAAATGACAACTTTAGTGATAAAAAGGATAGTAAGCGTTTAAATGAAAAAAATAGTGGGCTCCGCCGGCGGTGCATTGTGCCAGAAAACGAGGCAAGCCCCATTGGTAAGCTATGTATTTTTGTTCACCACCGGAAGGCAAATTTCAAAGTTCATTAAAGTGGGAGTGATGGTGGCTTCGCGCGTCCTTTCCCTGTTCCTCCAACCAGGGCGGGCATTTCAAACCGTAACTGTCAGGCAAGCTGAGTTCCTTTGCTAACTCGGAAATGTTCCTCGTTGGCAGTGTGCATCCGAGCTGAAGTCCCTTGGCACGCTTTCAAATCACATCATCCTCCAGGCATGTCCTTGACCGCTGGGCCTAGATTCAGTGGTGCCAAGAAATAGGTGCGTGTTACTCAGGCCGCATTGCTC